TTTTTTCACAGTTGGCTGTCGACACGTTTGATTGACGGTGGGAATGTTCACCTGCACTCCTCTTCCTCCTCCCCCGAGTCCTCATCCGTTCATCCTGTGCACATAATTTTCACTGTCTTTCTCCTTTTAAACGTCGGCCACGCAGTGCTGTAAAACATAATGCCCAACGTGCACACACACACACACACACACATGCACAAACGGGCCTGAGCCTGCTAATCCTATAAGGCTCTGGAGGTTTGTGGAGGTCAAGGATTCCCGTGTTTTGCGGAAATTCTGTCGAAATTTACAATCACACACTAAACCTGAGCGATCGTGGGGAGGGTGAGGACTCTTAGGTCACTGTGACATCACAAGAAATCTGTGGCTTTGACCTTAGACCTTCTGAATTACACCGCCTCCAGATGATGCAGCTCTCTAAGAAGCTGCAGGTTTATAATCAATCAACTGAGTCTGTGAGACTGGGAAACCAAACCGTCCGTTTACTTTTCACCTCTTCATTGCTAAATGTCTCTGCAGTTCTTTACCCTTTCAAGTCTGGTGTGATTGATATAGATTTTTGCCCAGAATGCCTTTCACCTGTTACCAAGTTGTTGAGTTTGGTCCGTTAACTTGGATCAGGACATTTTTGTGTTTCTGTCTTGGTTACTGACTTGGTGTCTGTTTCACATACTTTCAGGTTTGTAACAATAGGTGGTTGCCTGGTTTAACTTACTAACTTTGGTTTAAGGTAAGGGTTTACAAAGTTTAAGGTTAACAGTGGTTTGTACTTTTACCTGATTGGTGGGTTTGCTTTTAGCAGCCCAGCTAATACCAGGCTTTCTATAAACTGTAGCTTCTTTGTTTTGTTTAATGACGTGATAGTCTCAAAGGTTTCTATCTTGGTTTTTTTTTTTAACCTCACCTCAGTGTATGGACTGATGTCTTTATGGAGGTATAATGTAGTTCTTTCAGTGTGAGAACCGGTTGCCTTGGTGCTTGGCTCTTATACGATTGATCGTCATTGTAGGATATTGTGTGACGCATTTCCTCACTGTCAAACCTTGAGTTAGATCTTTTCCCTCTGTGATGTCGTTAGTGGAATTGTACCAGATTTGGCTTAGAAGGAGACTAGAGCGCAGGGATGGGTCGACTGGGCTGGCTGTGCTGTGCACACTGAGGATTTGATGGCGTACGTTAAAGAGAACTGCACTGACAAATGCAGTCCATAATCATTTGGAACAAAACACGTTTGACATGTGTCCACACGGTTCCACTGTTTCTATGTGGCTGTGATTCCATCATTAAAATGACAACAGGGAATTTACGTCAGCAGTCAAATCACCTAAGAGTCCTTGGTCACATCTGAACTCAGCGTTACCGAATCATCAGCCGCAGCAGCAGCAGCAGCAGCAGACAGGCAGCAGTGGAGAAAAGATAGAAAACTGAAGATCTAGAGAGAACAAGTTCACTGATGAATGTTGGAGAGACAAAAACAACTGGACGTGAACTCAGTCACACTCACACTGAAAATGGCAAGCTGTTAAACTGAAGCACATTTGACGTCACACACTGGCGCGCACACATGCAAAAACGCACACACAGATACGCACTGTCAATCAAGGCAACACTTTGTGTTTCCGCACCACCTAATCTTCTTTTGCAATTTCTCGCAGATTTGATGAAACGATCATCACCTTCATCCTCCTGATGTGACTGTGACTCATCAGCAACACCGAGGCTCGTGATTGGTCCAGAGGTGACAGCTTCCATGAGGACAGAAGGAACACTGTGATCTGCACACACACACACACATACGCACACACAAGGGTTTACTGGGTTCACCACGATAGACGTGAACGTGCAGCTGTGAAATCACACTTTAAATCATTAAAGGAACAGTTCATGATTTTTTAAACGTGTTTATTTGGGGTGCACACACACACACACACAATATGGACTGCACTGTGAGCTCCCTCTGCTGCTAGGACAAGTCTCAGAAACGTTGACTCCCAACGGAACGCCAGAAAAAATATAGTTTAGAAAACGTGACATTTTTGAGTTCAGCCCAGGGTTTTATCAAAAATGATCCCAGTGTTTGATAATACTATGAAATGATTT